AAAAATCCGGCTGAACAAGAAGTGAAACCAGCACACCCACAGAAAACAAGGTGGAAAATGAAAGCTAAAGGGAATTCACATAATATCCTAAAAGCATAGTGTAGCTGTGATGGTTGTAGGGGGACATGGTGGGGACTCTCTTGAGGAAACTGAGAGCCAAGTGCATTAAATATAATTGATTTATTTGGTAAATTACAAGAAAGAAGATGCAGAAGAGAACTAGAGTGTGATGGAAATGTCTTACTGTGGGTAACTTAGACAATTAGAAATGAGTAGCAAATAACAATTTGCACTCATGTCCTTGCTTCCTCCTGCAGTTATACCTTTTCACCTTCTCCGGTTGGCTCGAGCCAACCCACCCTAAAGAGTCCTTTGGTAGACTAGCTATTAGTTGCCATGGACACACTGCAAGGAAGATACCAAGCAATTTCTCTTTCCTTATTCTTAATTTGTAGACTTATATATCTTTGCTTCTTTGGCTCCGTCCATTTCTCATTGCCATTTAAATTTGTACTTTCCCTTTTCTGTCATATATACCCACCCATATGGCTTTTTCTTCAACATCATTATGAACTCTCAGCAGGGATACAGCTCCACACTTACCAGCTGTATAGCTTGGGCAGATCCTTCAAATTCTCTGGATCTTCGCCAATATCTCCATCTGTAAAGCTCACAATGTTTGGATTAGGTCATCATTTCCTGACAGGTGGTTCAAGAACCCTTAGTTGTTCAAGACTATGTCTCAGGGCGTTCAGGTCAATGTAAGTTGTAATGGTATTTCTTTCCATTTATATTTTTAAGTAATAAATAAAAATTATACTTTCTATTAAAGCAATAATATTTGATAGTCTTCAGCTGCATGGCAGGTGAATACATGGTGTGGTTAGTGGAGATCAAATGAGATTGCGAGCAGTTTGTCATACCTGAACATAGAAAACCCCACCTGTTTTTACTGATTTCAGTATTAAGTTGTTTTTAATTTCAGTCAGGATGTTGACATTTATACAGTCAAGATAGAAAACACTTCCCTTACCATAAGGATCTCTCATGTTCCCTTTTGATACCTACTTCCACTTCCCTTTCATTCACTCCTGTTAACCCATAGCAACCACTAATCTGTTCTCCATTTCAAGAATGTTCTATAAATGAAATCATACAGTATGTAACCACTGGGATTCACATTTTTCACTCAGTATAAGTCTCTGGAGCGTCATCCAGATTGTTAGACGTATCAATAGTTCATTCCTTTTTATTGCTGAGTATTATTCTAGGGTATTGATGTACCACAGTTTGTTTAACCAATGACCTGTCAAAGCACATCTGGATTTTTCCAGTTTTTGGCTATTACAAACAAAGCTGCTATGAACATTCATGTTCAGATTTTTGAGTGAACATGTTTTCAGTTATCTGGTATAAATGCCTAGGAGTGCTATTGCTGAGTAATTTCCTACTTATGTTTTGAAGAAACTATCATCTGTTTTCCTGGGTGGCTGTACCCTTTTACATTCCTACCAGCAATACATAAATGATACAGTTTTCTACATCGTTGCCAGTATTTGGTGTTGTCACGATTTTCTTTTTTTAAATTTTAGACAGATATGTCTCTTTTTGGTTGTAATTTGCATTTCCCCAATGGCTTATTAATGTTGAACATCTTTTCATATATTTATCTAACATTTGTATATGCTTTTCTCACCCAAACAAACTAAAAAGGTGAGGTGGTGGGTGATAGATGTGTTAATTAACTTGATTGTGGTAATCATTTCATAATATATATGTATATCAAAACATCAGGTTGTACACCTTAAATATATATAATTTTTGTCAATTATACCTTAATAAAGCTGAAGAAAAGAGAAAAAAAAACAAAAAACAAAGAAAAAGACACTTATAAAACATATCTTTTAAAATCTAATTAATTGTCAGGCTGTTCATGGATTTTGGTGTATAGTGAAGTAATAAAATACCATTTATCACAGAATCAAATATACAAAGTCA